CGAAGTTAAAATGTAATTTATTCATTTTTTAGAGATTTGAAATTTTTGTATTGACTCATTTACAAACAATTTTTGAATTTAAATTTTTTTTCTCATCATCCAAAATCTGATACATTGAACTAACTTATGATGATATAGCAACAATAGCTTATGCATGGTGTGAAATTATATTTCAAATTTCATTAAATTTTACCATTTATATATTTATATTATAAACATATTTATAATATGTCAATATAATTTTTTATTTATTATACGAGGATAAAAATAATACAACTCATATGACAAGAATAAAGAACAAATATATATAGGTAACTTACATAATTGATGTCGGCAAAGGGTCTAAGGAATGGGGGGTATCCCAAAGGAACACCTACTCGTGAATTGCAATTTAAGGTGAAAAGAACCTAACAAAATTATTTTTGTTTTGGTTAGTTTCAACATAAGGAAAGATACATAGCAATTCCTACCACTAAAAAAAGCAGACCCTTACAAACTTTAACTGCATTCACGAGTAGTATAATTGTAGCACTATAGGTAGGTCCCCCCATTATTCATCTGTTTTGAATTAGAAAAAAATTTTAAGTACGAAAATCAAATGAATATACCTAATATATCCACTTATACATTAGCTCTTTTTCGTCTCGTCTAATATTTAAACATTAAATAACGTTCCTCACTAAAACATTTTTATTTTTATTTTTTAGTCTTGTCAATATGAGTTGTCATTATCGTGAGAAAGGAAAAGGACAAAGTTCGCCACCAAGTATCCCTCATTAATTTAAGATAAATTCTAAAAAAGAAGTGAATAGAAAGTTATCTAAGCTAGTAGGTACGCTTAGTAGTAAACTATATCAAGGAGAAAATTTTTATTTCATGCTGCAGTCTATTTTCCAGGAGTGGAAAATTAAAAATAATGATAGAAATTATTAAGTAAGATATTATCTCTTGCTGAAAGCAGTACCAGTTTATTAAAGCTAACTTTATGATTTTATTTTTTTTGTTGTTGAAGGGATAAGTAAAAGAAATGAACGTCAAAATTTTGTGATTTTTTACACTTTTTTGTTTTTATAAACAAAAATCATGCTTGCAATTCTTTGCAATTAAAGAGATAGACCTCCAGTAAGAAAGCCAAATTTAGCAAGTATAATTCATGGTTTCTTTGATATTTGATCGTGTGAATATTTTCTTTAAGGATATTATCGCACAGCCCTATGACCAATATTTTTTTATATTATACAATATTTAGCATCAATAGCTTTGAATATTAGTAGTCACCGTACGTTAAAGCAGGAAGACACAGTTTCCTGAAGCAGAAAGTATTACTGAAAGGAGAAATTTTTTTGAAACACACTCTGGGATAGAAATTGTTTTCCACAATAAAGTTCCGGACATTTCGTAATCGGTACGCTGGACAAAGTCATGGCGCAGTAAATGAATGAAATTGAATAATAAAGTATTTTTAGAATCGGAAGACAGCGAATAGTATCATAATCATAAAACAAATGTATAACCAAATTCTTCCAACTTGACTGAACTTTTTGTAATTTGATCCGGAAATCAGTCATTTTTTTATTATCTTATCAATTGACAATTATATTTATCTTTATATTTATATTTATTTATTTATCGAATAATCGAAATAATTTAGCACAAGAATCCCCCCCGGCTGTAAAATTATAACGAGAAAAGCGAAGGTAAAGCACGAATGTGCAGGAATTACAATTCATATTGAAGGTTACAAAAATCATTTATAATACAGTAAATTGAATGCGTACTTATCTTTAATGTTTCAGTATATTATTGATTCTAATTCTGATTATGCAGTCCTTAATCTTTTTTGTGAAGATTGAAAGGAAGCTATTAATGGAAGTCTTTTTTTTCAACAGCCTTTCTAATTCACAAATGTTGAATGGATTGGTATTAAAAAATTATTCCACAAATAAAGCTACAAGTTAAACTGCGTAATAAAAAGTTCTAATTCCTCATTTTTGGTTTTTATTGTGCTACTTTAATTTGTCTAAAGATTCTTGAATTTGTTCGAATTTCATTTTTCTCATTTGAGAAATTGTTTATACATTTAAATCTATTCTCTTGAATAATTTACACAGAAAGAATTCTGGAAGACGAATTCTCTAGAAAACGCGTCTATTTTTCGCAATTTATATGTTATCTAATTTTGAAAATGGGTGCCAAAAATAATTCAAATAAGATGTTTAGTAATCTTGGATTACAAAAATGATAAGGGTAACGCGTTAATTGTTGCACTCAGATCTTTAAAGCTTATATTTATAAACGAATGAAAAGGTATCAGAAGGTTTTTATTTAGGTTATAATAATATCAAATTAATGAAGTACTGCCTCGCTCTGTACTTACGGAGTAAATGTCAATCGTTGCGAAATTACTACGGCTATTAAAAATCTAAGGGAATATTGGGGAATTTCTAAATTATGCGGGTAAATTCCATTGATCTGTCTCTTCCTTTTATTCGAAGGGAAACTTGCCCAGAGAACATGTTGACTAGAGGACATTTTTTGCCAGAGGACAACTTTAAACAATTTGCTAATGAAAAATATCAAACTTTGTTATTAAAATTACTAATTTCGACTTGGATTAGTAATATGGATCACTTTTTTCTTGATTTTTTTTTTTTTAAAAAAAAAAATTTGTTTTTAAATCAATTGTGAATCCAACCAATCAATATATGTCGAGGCTCATTCGTGTATACGAAAAACATGACAAAATTATAAATGGTCGCAAACGGTAATTTTACGGAATTCCTTTCGTTGAATAGAAGTTAGTATTCTCACATGGACATGGTAAATTTCAATGTCTTTGGAAATAAATTCCACACAAGCTTAATATAATCAAGTTCGGACTTTTAACTATCTTAATATCCTCCGAAACAAAAGAAATGTAATTATAAAAAAAGTACGTAATTATATTTAATAATTATGTAATAATAACGAATTATTTTTTTCAACCGTCCTTTTATATTTCCTCAATCTTTTTTTTTTCTTATTTTTTCCTTCTTTTTTTGCATGTTAACAAAATCCCACTTCCACAACATTTATTATAAAGATATGGATCAACATCCTCCTAATTCTGGCGGAGAAGGATCTTCCAAAAGAAGAGCGTCCAAACGTAGATTAGCGACGTTAAAGGAAACCGCTCGTAGTAATGTTAAGAGAGCCGAATGTAATTTTATAATCGTTTCTCGATATAAGTTTATCAATTCACTAAATAAGGATTTAACATCTTTCAAATTTGTAGTTGGGGATCATCTAAAACCTATAAAATCAAAAAGGTATAGACCTGGTACAGTTGCTTTACGTGAAATTAAACATTATCAGAAGACTACGAACCTTTTAATTCTTAAATTGCCCTTTTCTCGCGTGGTAAGAATTTAATTTAAACGTTCCATTACTGAAAGTATAATGTGATTTGGTTTATTAATTACCATTATTTTATACAAAGATACGTGAAATAGCTTTGGAAATCTTAGGTCCAAAAACAGGTATTGGATTAAGATGGCAATCCGCTGCGATCTTGGCTCTTCAAGAAGGTATTAAAAAAAAAGAATCCCAGGGTGTAAGCCAATATTTACTCGGCGATAATCAGGTTCTTCCACCCTTTTTAGAACTTTTTTTATCTCTTCCTCTGGAGGAAAAGAAAACTTTTTTATTTCTTGTTTATTAGCACTTTTCATACCTCTTATTTAATCTAATTTTAAACATACCCCCCCATTCTTCTTCATGATTCTAATCTTCATTCATTTCTATAAATTAAAAGCTACCGAAGCTTATCTGATCCATTTATTTGAAGACGCGTATGTATTTATCAATTGAGATTTTTTTTTTTTCCAAACGATGAGATTTTCCAATGAATTATTATTAAAAATCCTTTCCGCTCATAGCAATTTATGTGCTATTCATGCGAAAAGAATTACAATAATGCAAAAAGATATTCAACTGGCGAGAAGGATTCGCCGAGTTTGCATTTGTCCCGGATAAAAAGACGAGTCTGAAAAGATCTGGATTTCCAAATTATATTATATGTCCTTATTTGGTGCATTGTTTTGGTTTCTTATATAATCAACTCCTAATTAGAACAAATATCATATATAGCGCTTTTAAAATTTTTTAAATTAGAATATAATAAAAGTAAATAAATAAGTTATTTAATTGAAAAATCTATTTAAATTTCCGACTATTTTTTTTTTCTTTTTCATTTTATGATTCCTTTTCTTAAAATTTCTTTAATTGATCCTTATATTATGAAGATTACGAATATTACTCAAAGACATAACAATATAGCTAACGTATTGTTCTTACATATAATCTAAACAATGTTCTGTAACCAAAAATTTCCACATAAATTTATGGATCATTTCGTAAATATCAATAAAATGTTCGTGTTGTCAATTACTTTTCTTATTCTTCGTATATCTATTAAAAAAAAGGTATCAAGATTAACAAAATATTTTCAAATAAAAATAAATAAATAAATCAGTAAATTCCTGTTTCGCTACTCACCTACAATATTGTGATCCACAATAACAAATAAATTCCTCGGTTTCAATTTTATAATCTAATGTAAGTTCAGTAAATGCTTTGATATCTCTTTGTGCAAAAAAAGCTATTCTTTGCCATCTCTTGTCTTTATTCTCTACAAAGAACTATGATTACAGCTATAATTTGTTAATAAAAAATTACAACATACAAAAAAACGAATCTTTTGCATAAATGACTTACGGGAATAGTTATCAAATTAGCATTACAGGAATGATTAAGGAATCGGCTTATTCCACACCAATAATTAGAGTCTAGTCTTAAAAGATAAAAATAAAAACGAAAATTTAATTGATAGTTTTTTTAAAATATATATATAATTGAAGATAAAGAAGAACCTACGAAAGTACTTGTCTCCTTTCTTTTTTATCAAAATCATAATCCAAATCAAAATAACTCATAGTATCCAATTTATCATAACAAACGGCTCTCAACGATGCGATATTAGCATCAATAACTTCTCCAACATGCTCCATAACGAATTCACCTTCTTTGATGAATTGGAATGTTCTAACACCCCACCCCTTTTCTTTAGTTTTAAAGATCTAAAATATAAAAAGAAGAAATTTATATAAGTTTCATTGAATAATGAATTTTCGTTCTTCTTTATCGTGATGATTTAACTCGCCTGAAATTTCTTTGGTGTCTTTTTGCTCCTTTGTATTACCCGATTTGGACAAGTCATATCGCAATTACATCGAGAATTACATTCATAGATTGCTCCTATGTCCGATCTTGATAATCTATCATTCTCAAATGGAAATCCTTCACCTGATCAACGATGGGAAGGGAATTTTTTAACAAATTGATAGCCGACTTCGTTAACAAGAGAAATCACAGAAAGAAATATCGTAATACCTTGAGTTTCCTCATCGATCAACATACACTGACACACAGCTGTTTTCTATAAATCAAGTTTAAAATTATATTTTATTTCCAAGATCTTTTTCAAACTGAATCTTTTCGAAAATGGGAATTAGATTTGTAAATATCTACCTGGCAATTATCCGCGCAAGCACATGCGAAATTCTCTAAAAGGTTTGGTCCTTTCACATTTGGATGAATTATATTATCTTTTATAAACTATGATAAATAAAAATAAGTTTGGTAACAGGATAAAAGAAAAACCTAACAAAAAAATTTGTTTAAAATACCAACCTCTAATTGAGGAATTTTGTCATCATCCATAATATTCATAATATCATAAGGACATTTCGATCTTGGTGATTGAAGTAGTGGATTCCATAATTCTTCAAATCTTCTATCAACTTCTTTGGATGAATTTAAAGCAATCAATTTGCTCTTTATTGATGTTATTGAATTAATAATAGGCTTATTAACCTCCACTTTTATATTATTATTATTTTTTTCTGGATCCAAATCCATCATGATTTTCTTCTATTTTGTAAAATATAAAAATAATTTTTTTATTAAATTTTTTTTTTTTTTTTTTTTAAAAAAAAAAAACTCATTTAATGCTTTAAATTTTAGTTACCTTGATTTCATCCCAAAGAAAATAAACTTGTTTAGGATGTCTAAAAATAATTGCACTCTAACCATAAGAAATCAATCAAAAATCAATAAAAATTTCAGGGAAAATAATAATTAAAAATTATAATTTTATTTAAAATATCCTTACAATAGCTTGGATTAATTCCCAAGAAAAGCTAATTTCTTTATAAGAAGCACTATGAATTTCTGAAATATAGGATTTGATTAAAAATTTTTCATAATCTGTAATATTTGTTATTAAACCCTTTCTATAATCAAAAAAAATAATAAATAATAAATTAATAAATCAAAATATTAAATAAATGCTATGAATTCTTAAAAAAGGTTAGAACATCAAACCTTATTTTTTCCCGGTGAATAATCCACTCCATTGATATATAATCATTATTTAATTTTTCATTTAATTCTTTAGATAAATGAACAATTAATTCTAATAATTTTACCCAAAGATAAATTTGGCGTGGTGTAAAATAATCTTTAGAACATTCTTTTAATTGATTCGTATCACAATGATCTATTAAACTTGTATTAACTGGATCAAAATCGATAATAGATGTTTGTATTGTAGTCAATATATTGCTTCCATTATTATTATTGGCTGTTTTAGATGATGATGCAATCCCATTTGAAGAAATTTGAGTTTGAGTTTGAATTTTATTAATAATAAGATGTTTTTGATATGGTTCTAATCTGTAATCTCTCCTGATATTGTTATTTCTTTCATTCATTTTTTTTTATTTTTATTTTTTTTAAAAAAAAAAGGTTAATAAAAAACTATAAAGACAAAATTACACTACTTTTTATTTTTAAAAAATTGTTTTGTTAGCCTTTTATACATATGTTTATTCGTGTAACGTTATACGGTTTGTTTTTACTATATAGGTAAAGCGCGTTTGGTTACACGGGAAATGAAAAGGTCACGTAGTCGGGATCACGTGAAATGTGTAACTGACAACCTTTCAAAGAAAGGTTGTTAGGGATGCAGGAAGACGGTTTGGATCGCGATCTGATCGAATGGCCGATCTCAGAGGTTAGAACCAGTTTGGACCGGATCGGTTAATGATAACAAAAACTAGAAATAAACACCTATTTAAATTTGGTACCATCATAGTTCGACTCATAAACTTGGAATCAAATCATGAAATCGGACTCAATCTTACGTGATATTAATGTAAATTGTAAGCAAGCTATATTTTAATTACAAAAATATCAGAAAAAATAAACGTAGTGTACCAACAAAAATTTCACGATCACGTGACTGACAATTTATTTATCACACCCGTCACTCCCTAATCTTGGAGTGGTTTAGAAATCATGCTATCCCAGATTTAGGGTTAGGGTAAATGCAAAAATCACGTGATCGCGAAATTAGCCATAATAAGAGTATATTTATCCCATTCTGGGAGTATACTCAACTTATTCCACAACTCCTAACGCTAAACCCTAAGTACATTTTTAAGGATGCCGCCTTAATAAACGAGAAATCACTGCGCTTTGTTAATTAATAACCGTCCGCTCAACGATCGAGTCGATTCATGTGTTTATTATAACATTTGTAATCGGCTAAATAAGATAATCGCATAAAAATTAGAAAAGGACACGTAATTATGCAAACTATTGTACAAAAATAACTTTATGAAGGTCTAAACCTCATGTGGAAGAGAAAGGTTTTGTTACAGCAGCATTTCCAACAATTCATTGACAAATTTTATTATAACTCGCTAATGAAAATTATGTTTTTCCCTTTGTTTTGGACGCGAAAGGAATCTAAAAATAAAGGCATAAAATTACATATGCATATTAAAGCAATAACACCATTTTTTATTAAGTTTTTACTGGATCAAAGAAAGAATCGGTAAACGCATTTTAATTTCGAATTAATAATTGTGGCGGAGAATAGAAATAGAAATACAGACATTCATTACATTCATTGGTTCGGTTATGTGTTTATTGTACTTATTAAATTTATTTAACAAAAAACAATGCATAATAATAACCTTCTGCTATAACGCTTGTTTGAATCGTTAAATTCTAACAGATTTCTGTTAGTTTCATGCTTTGACGTTCTTACCTCAAGATATTCGATCTAAAGATCGGTCAAATCTCACCCCAGATCGCTAAAGAGCGGACCGAAATAAGATGGGTCGAATCATTAACATCCGTACAAGTTGCTATAGTCATGAATTAATCCTATATTTGACCTGTAATGATGGGTTGGTTAGTGAGTTTAACAAAAAATCAACCATCATCAAATTTCAAGAATTTCAGTAAATCAATGAATTTAATGATTATAAATAAAAATTGTATTTTAAACATCATATTAAAAAATTCTTAATTTAACATATGTAATTTATATATAACTTTTTTTGATTTCAGTTAGAAGAAATTTTTATAATACTGTAACAATCTATTAAGCAATTGACTGAATTTCTAAATTTTATTAAGATCTACGACAAGCATTGGCAATCAAACGTAAATATATAAGAATTTCACCAGTTTTTTGTACAGAAATAGACTAATAATAATTGTTTGCTGCGCCTCGCGTAAAGTTCTTATTTAACCTCATTCGTGACCGATAATTTAGAAAATGTTTTTTTTTGGTTTAGCCACGATCACGTTCCGTTTTTTCATGGAACTTAATCGTCGACTCCATAAATATTGCATTTATAATAAATATAATTTAACTTATCATAATAAAATTTAGAATCATCATAATAATATCAAAAGTGGGAACACAATTCAACGGTGATTTTGTTTGTGTATAATATAGTCGAACATGTAATTCAAAGAAACAATTTCTATTCAACTGTAAATAAGAATTTTTGCAGACGTCAAATTTCTTGAGTATTAAAATAAAATAAATTCATAATATTCTTATTTACCCGATAAATGATAAGCATTTTAAATGGATCGTTTGGTGCTAAATATTCACACTAATTATGTAATACACCATAAATTTTATCGAATGTTTCCGGTGTTGTGTTTTGCAATTTAGGATACGTTAAAACAGTTTCATTGTCCAATTCCTTTCAAAAAGTCCTTAGCAGCTTAAGTTCATTGGATAAAGGAAATCAATTGGTTTTCAAAGTATTTATTAAATATAAAAATATTGGTAAATGTTCTTCTAACACATTTTTTCTCTTCAATTTTCGAATATCAGAACGAGAGTCATTAAGTATTTAAAATTCTTTTTTTAAGAAGTTACAGTTTTCTGCGGTGAACATGCTGGTTACTTTAAAAGTCGAAGTGCTGAGTAACTATGGTATTTGTATAGCAATATGATTGGTGAAATCCCGCTCAGCAAATTTTACTGATATTGAAAATATCTGTAAGGCACGATATTGCCGCAGTTACGAGTTCACTTAGTGCAATTTTATTATTTGTAATAATCATAAATTTATAATAAATAATATATTAGTATTTACAATTCATTCACAATACTTAATTAATTTATAATAATTTATAATATATTTAGTTTTACTAATTTAATCAAAAAGCCAATGAAACTTAATAAATGAATCTCTTTTTAATATAACTAGTAAGAAACTACAACACGATGGATCTTTGAGGTAGTAATTTTTTTTACCAATAACATAATACAAAATACAATCCTAAAATCTTGTGATTTATAATAAAACTGAATTTTTAAGTAATATTGTAAACATATGATAGATATACCTTATTACAATTTTGTAATATTTTAATAAATTTTTACTAATAATTTGGGTTGTGATCTAAGAAAAAAAAAGTTTTGGGAATTTTTTATCAAAATTAAGATTTTAATTTTTATTAAATTTAGACTAAAATGTAATAAAATATTAATTTTAGTCAAAAAATTCCTTAGAACCTGATTTTTTAGATCACAACCCATTTAAAATAATAGAAAATTGCATAATGAATATAATTTTAAGTAGTAATATAGAAAATGAAAATTTTAATAATTTACATTAATAACAATAAATTAAAATATTTATTTTAATTTTAAAATAAAATGAATTTAATATAATATCATCAATATAATTACATAATTATATATAAATATTAAAAAAAATTATGCAGCTTTTATATATAAAGGTTATATTTATATACAATGTTGGTCTTTTGGACTAATGGAGTTTTGAACCATTGGACTATTGTAATACTGGACTTAGTCCATTCCAATTCCATTAAAATTTGGACTATTACACTATAGATTTTATCTAATGTTATTAATTTATATATTAATTTTAATAATTATAAAATTTATAATATGTAAAATCATTTTTATTGATATTTGTTAGAATTTTTATTAAATTCACTAATTTTTACTTAATATAAAAGTTAACAAATAACAATAACTAAACTCTTAATAAAAATATCTTGAAATTTTCATTTAGAATTTTGATTTTTAGCATGATAAGGTAAATTTGAAATATTTGCAACACTAATTTCAAGTTCATCATCATTATTATTGCTATCACTTTTATTATCTTCATTATTTTTTTTATTTGATTTATTTTCCAATATATTAATCCATTTTGACAATAAATTTCTCTAATCACTTTCAGTTTAAACATTAGAACTATCATTTAATGATTCATATCTGGGTCATCTAATATATCTGGATCATCTGATATATTCAAATTTATTTTTAATTATCAGAAGTGTAATATTTGTATTATAAATGTGCGATTTTAGTGAAGCATTACAGTTAAACAAATTATTCAAGTATTATTTCTTTTTAATATATGTAGTAATCTACTAATTTATTCCTAAGTTCTGGACTTATCCCTTAAATTATAGAGTTTTGCAGACAAATTTGCCTACTTATTTACTATATATTCTCTTCTGATTTACTTTTATAAATAATTAATATTTTTTAGGAATTTTTTTTT